CACACACACACACACACACACACACACACACGCACACAATCAATCAAATCAAATCAATCAATCAATCAATCAACCAATCAATCAAGAAAACCCTTTTTTTGTTGATTTGTTTTAAATTTTTGCATCTTCATTTTTTTTAAACACCTAATTCCCCTACAAAAAACCGAAAATCGTTTCTTAAAAACATACAGCACAACTCAGGGACCATATCCCTCATGATAAAAAATGCCAAAAAAAAAATCCTGCTTTTCCTTTGATAATTTTTTTTTTTTTTTTTTTTAAATCGAATTTCGTTTTTCATTTTTTAAAAATCTTAAACGAAGTCGGATTCGAAAATAAAAAACATAGGATTGTAGGGTTTTCCAAGCCCTTCACCCCTATATATATGTATTTTTTTTACCTATTTTTAGGGGTGAAAAAAAAAATTAAAAACCAGGCCGCGGACTGGGCCTCATCGGCCGCGGCCGCGGCCGACTTTTTCGGCCGCAGCGGCCGAATTGCCCGCGGCCTAGGCCGCGGGTGTCACATAGGCTCAGACCATAGGTTTACACCACCCTCAAGCACCAGTAAAGCTGCCAAGCCCGAAATTCACACTCCAGACACAGCACACAGCCGGCAGAATGGTTGGTCCCGAGTACTTCCGAACCAGGTAGGTGAACAGTTGCAGGGAGCTGGAAACGTTGTGCATGTATATTGTCACAGAGAGCTCCCCTGTTTTTTTTTTGAAAGCCAGGCTATGCTTAGTAGAAGGGGTGGTAGAGGCAGCCCCTGCTACGGATAGCTTGCCCCAGCCTCGCTCCATTCTATTGGTGGGGAGGTTCACGAGCTGGAAATGGGGCCCAGTGTCCCTTTCAGTACACAGAAGGAACTGAGATGATATGTTTGTATCTTGCACCAAGAAAAACACCTCGCCAGCATTGATTGCCCAGGTTGATTAGGGGACTAATTGTGCGGGGCGGTGAGTTTAGTCGCCTGCGTCTTCTGCCTTGCCACTCAGCACCGAGACTGCCTTCTTCCCCCAAATACAACATAGGGTCATTATAGCTATATTTGGGGTATCTTTCAGTCTAAGTACAGCTATATTGACCGTACATTGTATTCGGGGGAAGAAGGTAACCATCTCCTAGCAGTACTACCAATCGCCGAGGTGTAGCAGTTACTCACTCTTCCCCATACCAAGACATGTCAACCAGGGATAGGGCACTCGGGGGAAAGGGATTTGAGATTTAGCTGACTGCCCCTTCTGCCCTACAACTCAGTACAAAGGAAGACAATCATCCTAGGAGTTCTCCACTCTCCCCCATACCAAGTCATGCCAACCAGGGAAAGGGCACCTGGGGGAAAGGGATCCGGGAAGTTGGATGGGGTCCACATGGGGATCTCTCCATCGATCTTGGTCCATTCATGGAAGATCAGCTTGTAATCCCGAGTGGGGTTTGGCTGGTCATCTTCTTGCCCACCGCCCCACTCTCCACTCTAGCCATCCACCCCCCCTGTTCCCCACCCAGCCAGTCTCCTAGACAGAAATGGAGGAAAGAACAGGAAACATGCAGCTGTGACAGACTATTTCATTGGACTTTCACTGACTCGTCAGGACGATAAGTCCCAACGGGAATGAAGTAAAGACGAAGGGTCAGATTGTGGGGCCGTTCCGCAGCAGGATCGCCAAAAAAAGAAAAAAAGAAGGGGTAACTAGGGTGCTGTCACGATTTCAGTTTTAAAATCCACGAATACAACACATCCCCACCCGACCCTAAAGCTGAATTGTATACCTTCACGATTTTCCTCGGTATGCCACAACATTAGCGAAATCATGACTGAAACGCATTTTGAAACTGGAAACATGACAGCGCCCTAGTTTTCCCAAAAAAAAAAAAGAAGAAGAACAAGAAGAAGAAAAAGGAAAAAGACGAAGGGTTATTCCTCAGATTAAAGTGGAAGGTGGGGGGGGAGGGGGGGGGGCACCTTGGGTCCGTGGGAGCTTACCTATAGCCAATTCTATCCTTAACACTGCAACAGGGCTGAAAAGTCTCTGCCTTTACCACTATCCGTCCGGGACATTCTTTCCCGACATTCCGCAAATTGATGAGAGGTGTTGCGCCAATCAGATCCATCACCGAGTCAATAATTTGAGGTTCTCGATAGAAATGGGGACGGAAATTCTCATCTTCTTTTTTCGCCCCTGAAACCCCAGTGGCAGTCGCCATTCTTTCCTGATGATGACGTCAGCCACAATGATGGATGGATGATGAAATTGATTTCTATACTTTGACAAACATTTGATGGCGACGGTCACATCCAATACATCTGATGACCAGGTTCTTTCATCCTCCTGTCTAAGGCCATCATACGCTCACAAGGACTTTCTCAAATGAATCTAGTCAGGCATCAGTGACATCCAAGAGCATACTTGTGTGAGAAAGCCTGGCCAAGGTCGAACCTGTCACCACCTGAGGAAACATCCCAAAACGACGAACGGAGCAGTCTTTCCAGAATGTCCTTGTCTACTCAACCAATAGACAGCTGCATAGAAGTCTTGCATTGAAATAGCCATCAAGCAAGGAAGGGGGGAAAAGCATCAGGAGCACATTGACAAAAAAACAAGATAGAAATAAGATGCCAGTCCATATAATCTGATTTTGTGGAAAAAAGAAGAAAAAAACATATGAGAAGAATGCCTAAGGACATGCTCATTCTAGGATTCACTGGAATGTATCTTTTTCTTTTGGGGGGGGGTAACTAGGGCACAGTCAGAAAAGCAGTTTCTAAATGCATTTCAAACTGTCGTTTCGCAGTTTAGTCCCCTCCGAAGTTTACAATTCAGTCGAAACTCCGCTTGTAACTGCAGTTCAGTCAGGCACGTGGCCTTTATTATTTTTGTTTTTTAATCTCAGGCGTAGCCGAGGCATCTCGGCTGTGGCCCAGTCACCTGACAAGATGCCCCGGCCACGCCCGGGAAACAAAAAAAAAGCCGGGGGGAAAAAAAAAACTAAAAAAATGTTTTTTTTTTCTCTTTTTTTAATCTCAGGCATGGCCAAGGCATCTCGCCCGTGGCCCAGCCATGCGACGAGACGTCCGAAAAAGAAAAAGGGCCTTTTACCTAGGCTACCAGCCGGGTCAACTGGATCACCCTGTTTTCCTGGGCGGCCCGGTCGTGCAAGGACCAGGGAAGGTCCCAGCCAAAAAAAAAAAAAAAAGAACTCCAAAACTTCCGAAAAAGAACACTTTGTTATGCAGAAAAATAAACTGAACAACTTTTGTCTCAGGGTCACATTGAAATTCTTTATTAGCTATTGACAGATTTTTTTTTGCTTTTTTTTTTTTTCCGCAACCGCACCAATGTTAGTGGTGGGCATACTCACACCAGGGGTCTAATTCTCAAAGTCGCAAAATCTGATGATGTTTTGCAGTCACACTTTCCCCCCACCCCCACCAAAATCACAAACAGTGTAGTATTTGTCAGCGGCCTGGTGGGCCGTGGGGTTCAGCAAATTGTGAAGACCTCTAGAGGTCCTCGCAAATTCGCAATTGATTTTCGGCGGGAAAAAAAAAAAATCTCCACAGGCCAGAAAACGGAACTTCGTGCATACTACAGTCCAAATTTGCTATGTTCAGTTGCCAACGGGACAGTCATACAGCGTCTCTATCAATTTTGGCATCATGCACAGCAAAATGCCCGTGTGTAACGGGTTTGTACGTAGTGGCGGAGTCCCTTCCTGCGACTCCGCACCCAGGTGAGTTCCGTACATGCTTGCGATGCCCTTCCGCCCTCCTCCACAGTTTCTCCCCCCGTTCCCGCATGCGAGTAGTCTTGCCATCCACGAGATTAGCTAGGCCTTCCGCAAGAATAGATGCAGATTCCGCTCCCCTCCGCGCGGTTTGAGGGCCTCTCCCCACTTCCTTGTTTCCATGCTCCCACCGCACCCAGTCTCGCATGTTGTCCACTTTCATCGGTGAATTGCACCTGGTCCGTTCACCGTATGTGACAAATGTTGGAGAAGCGGAAAGATCAAACATCCCGGCGGCGAGATTGCGCCTTCTAGGAAACGGCACCGCCGTCGAGTTCGTGTTCTTCATGACAGACATGACCGTTTCCCTCTTGCTACGGATGTGCCATGCACCTGTGGGCGCACGTTGTCGCCATACTACCATTCGCCGCAGAGGATGGAGAAATCAATGCCGCCTGGCAGAAGTTTTTTTTTTTTTTTTTTCCCTATATTCTTGTTTGTTGCTGTGCATGTCTCAAGCGATCGCACTGAGACGAGACAAAGTGCACGCGTGTGGCTATGGTGGACATGCACGTTGTCGTCTTCGAAAATTAAACAAGAAACGTCTTTTTTTTTCTCGTTTATTTTTCCCGTTTTCTTTTTTTTTTCCCTCCTCAATTCAGTTTCAGCGGGATACTCCATGCAGTCAGTGGAACTAATGTCCTCTCCCCTACATCCAATCGCACGAATGGAGGGGGAGAGGGCACTCGTCCATTCGTGCAATCTATGCTCCCCATCCGTGTGTTCAATCCTTTCCGTTCGCGCAATCGATCCCTTCCATTGGTGCGATCGACGGGGGGAGGATTGATCGCAGTGGTGGAGGGCATAGGTCGCAGGAATAGACGGGGTTGATCTCACAATCGGAGGGCAAGGTACGGGGAGGGGGGCGGGGGGCAGGTACGAATCAGGGTGAGGGCATCGTACGAATGGAGTGGGTCAATCCCTTCCATTAGTGCGATCAATCGCACGAGTGCCCTCACCCCGATTCGTACCTGGCCCCCCTTCCCCGTACCTCGCCCTCCATTCATGCGACCTATGCCCTCCATCACTGCGATCAATCCTGTCCGTTCGTGCAATCGATCCCTTGATCGACTGCACGAATGGAAGGGATCGACTGCACGAATGGAGTGGATTGAACGCAGTGATGGAGGGCAAGGTGCAGGAAGCGGGGCCGACTATGAATCAGGCTGGGGGAAGGAGGAGGATGGCGGAGGAGGCCATCTTTGGAAAGGGGGAAGAGGGGGGGAGGAGGACAATGGGTGATGGACCTGTGATCGGCAGTGTATGACGAGAGCGGCATTTTGATCTGATGCGTCATGAAGTCTTATATACTTCAGTCGCCGCTGCGTGATCTACGCAGATTGACCGGTACAGGTGTGCAATCTGTGTGTGTGTGTGTGTGTGTGTGTGTGTGTGTGTGTGAGAGAGAGAGAGAGAGAGAGAGAGAGAGAGAGAGAGAGAGAGAGAGAGAGAGGAAAACAGCTGCGGGTGTGCATCTGTTTGCGTGGTCGCGCGTGTGTGCGCACCCGTGAGCGCTTTCCCGTGCCTTTTAGGGAAGCAGGCATGAGCGTACTCACATTGCCTTTAAGATCATTGTATCTAACAGCATTTGAAGGGGATGTTGGCCACTATAGTCGCTCTCTGGAAACGCCACAGTGTGCAGGGGCGGGGAGGGCGGAGAGGTGACACTGCTGCTGGACATGACGGGGCAGATGGCCAATCGCTGAGGTGGGGCCGATGGCTTTGGATTATTGATTTAGCAGTCGACGGGCCGATTCGTTGATAGGTGGCCACTCACAAGTGGTTAAAGGGGTCTGTTGTTTGCTGTAGACACTAAGGTGATGTGTCACTGTGTTCAGGTTCATCCCCCTTTTGTTCGGTGATCCATACAGGATGTACGTAATAACCGAGGATCTGCAATGTGATGAAAAGGACTGAATGGACAATGCGGTGCGAATAGAATCTCGACAAGCAATGTGCATTCTCATACATACATAATGGTGCTGAATAGCGCAGGGAAGAC